GAGCTGGGCACCTGCTCGGCCGTGAAATGGCGGGGCGGGGCCTGGCCGAGGCCTGTGAGTTCCGCCGAGGTCTGGGCGGGATGTGGGGACGGCGGGGTGCGCTTGCGGGACTCCAGCCCGTTGTGTCCCAGGGCCCTTGGTTCCGTCCTCCGCAAGGAGCAGCGTCTGTGGATTATAAAAATTTCCAGCGATACAAATGAATTAGTTGTGAGAGGCTTCTCGAGGTTTTTCTCATTGGAAAAGACGAAATAATCCGAAAGCTTCTTTCCCCTGCAGTAGGACTTGCTAATTCTTTATTCAAAATATAAAGGACTGTTCAAGATTTATAAGACTGTTAAGTATTTGGCATAACCAGAAAACTGAAAATCAAGGGTTAGAGTCCTTTCCAGTTACTGACTCTGTACGTAATTACCTATGTGTAGGTAATTGTGTATGTACAATATACAAACATAGAGAAATGTGTATATACATATAATCTGTGTGCATACCTGTGTGTGTAACTTAGGGCACCACAGAGAGGCCGAAGGGGCTGTTCATCAGCTGCTGTTGGCATCCAGCTGTCTGTGTACCAGCAGTATTTAGGAATGTTAACTTGTCATATATGTATGCCATAAGTGCATATGTGTGTCACTTCCATAAGATGGGAATAAACTCTCTTAATTGCTCTCATAAATCTCAGAAGTTGCTTCATGAGTGATGATCTGTCTTGACAGATGCACTCCAGTGGCAAACAGCACCAAGTTTCCACGTACAGGTTGAATAGTCAGCTTCATACCTGGCTTCTCTTCAGAACTCACATTTGTTGCCTATACTTCTAATCTGGCACTTCACCAGAGGGACTTCTGAGAATTTTTCAGAGGTCATAGGACACTGCTGTCATGTCCTGGGTTCAAGCTGCAGTCAGCCGATCCAATGAGGATATATTTGATGAAGATGCAGATGAGATGTATCTACTACAGAAGGAATGGAACAGTACCATGAAAAAAAGATTGAAGGTATTTCTATAAAAATTATTTAATAGTCTTTTTAGCCATTTTAGATTTACTGAGACATACCTTGATATACATATGGATGATTTAAAGGGAAAAGTAAGAGTGACTGCTTAAAAGTTATTGTGGCTTAGTTTCTTCTAAATATCAGGAAAATGTAGCAGGAATTTAGGGAAACTCTTCTTAGTAGTCATCACAGCAAAGTACTGTTTAACCAAAAGACATTGGATCCCTGTGCACGAGTACATGCATTTGTAAAAGGCAGTGCTGAATTGTGATGCAAGCTATTTGCTTTGTATGTGTAGGTATACCCCTAGTAAATGTAGGGCCAACACAGCTGAACAGTGCTAATAAAGAAATATGAGATGCTTGGGCATTTAAGTAGAGTTTATTCATCAGTCAGATTGTAAGATGTGAGACCCCACATGCAACCACAATTGGGCAGTGTGGTCTGTGTAGTTCTTTGGTTGATTTATTCTAGTGAAAACTGTATTTTATGAAAGTTGCTTTCCACAGCCCTTGCTCCCTGGAGTTCTACAGGGAACAAAACAAGTACATAAACAGGTTAGTTCAACAGATACATTATGATTCAGAGTGGGGTCAGTAGGGCTCATCTGCTCACTCACGAGTGAGCAGCATTTGGCTGAAGAACATGGAAAGAAGCTGTTGCGTAGGCTGTTCATGAAGAAGGTTATTACGGCAGAGCTGGTGTATTACTGTCCAAGGAAGTTTCCTGCATATGAGTCCCTTAAAAAGACTAGCTTTCTTAAGGGGCTGTTTAGTATTCTTACACAAATCCCTCTGATGTCTGTGAGTAGAAACTGCAAAATCATAAAGTGTTGTGGAAGTTAGAGTATGTTGGGCAAAAACCAAAAAAACACAAATATTTGTGTTCCTGACTGTTTTTCTTGCAAGGCCACCAGTTTTCTCATGAGCAAATGGGAGTTTTCACTCTTACAGCTTGCAATTTTGGTGTGGAAAAAATTAAGAATTATTCTGTGCTATATCTTAATGTGATTAGAATATAAAGAAATTAATTTGCATTACAATCATTAACTGTTTCTTACAGAAAGCAGTTACAATGTTATGTGTACTTATATATGACTCAGTCTATCACCATCTTTTTTTCTGGTATAACTACTGAATTGAGTGAGATCTAGCAAATAAAAGAGCAATGCTCAACAATTAGTTTTGGAAGAACAGGTAGATGGATTACAGACAGGAGAGTACTCTGCCAAGTACTACTTGGCAGCCTGTTTATTTTTTAGATAGAAAAAAGAAGTCTAGATGTGGTATTCTTAAATGAATTTTTCGTAAAGAACTTGGTCATCATAAAAGCAATCATGCTTTCTTGCAGATTTGTCTTATTTTTTTATCTTTCTAAGAATACTTTCCCTATTTTTTGATCTTCTGGGGATACTTTTTCAAAAGAACTGGACCATACAGTCAGTAAATCATAATGCACTGCAAAAAGCATGTTTTAGTTTGGCAATGGGTGTGTAGCTGTGAGGGATATTCAAATCTAGAAGCTGTAATTTAAGAGATTGAATACATGTTTAAACTTTTTTTTATTGTTATGCATTTGTCATAGGTCCAATTTGTCATCTTGTGAACAACCTGTTTCACTGCTCTTATTATAGGAAGGCTATAGGGATGGAGTTGAGGCTGGGAAAGAACTTGCACTCCAGAAAGGCTTTAATCAAGGTTACAGACACGGTGCCGAGCTGATGATTACATGTGGCCAGTTCAAAGGAACCCTGAAGTAGGTTACAAACTCCTTAAGGTCAAGTGCATGTGGAGAGTGTGTATGAAGGAACATGCATGCAACTTTTTGTTTGTTTTAATTTAAAAAAACAAGTGCATTGTAAAACTGCCCAAAGTGAGGAACCTGAGAATTCTCAGGTCTTGAATACAGGGAATTTCCTACCTGGGTGTAGAGTAATCATTCTTGAAAAACCTCCTTCAGTTGCTCTTCCAAAATTAACTGAATCTTCATCTTTAAGCTTAATACTTAGTTCTACTGCTTTAATTATCCATAAAGTGTGAATGACAGGTACACTTATATAGCATTGATATCTTGGCACATTGTTATCTGCCTTCGCCAATTGGAGGTCTGTGTAGATACATATAATCACTTTTGGTTTTGTTCACTTTTCAGTGCTCTCTTATCCTGGTGTCGTTTTAATGGACATGATTCTGCTTTAAGTAAGATAAATAATCTTCTTGATGTGGTTGGAAAGCATGAAGAAGATGTGCTTAAGTATCTGAATTCTACTGAAGAACAGCCACATCTTAGACATGTTTTAGACTCTGTTGAGGACATGGACCTTAATCACACAGCTTCAGCTGGGACAGAGCACAAGGAAGTTAAAGATGGAAAACAAGAGGATGGTGGCAGCTCTGGTGAAAACATTTGTAGAAATAATGGTAAGGCTGGTTCCTTGCAGTCTGAGTGCAGCAAGGCAAACCTCCGCACAGATCCTGAAAGGTCAACGCTTGCTTGGGTTAAAAAGCAGACTGTTTGGCTGGTAGAGCAACTGGGCTTATCATTGGATATACTCCATCATGTCCAGCAACTGAAACATTAGTTTTTCTGTCTCATGGTACTTAAAATTATCTCAACTAGTTTTGCTTCTCACTTTGTGCACCATATACAGGCCAATGCATCACTTTGTTTTAGGAAAATCTGATCTTGATACTTTCCAGTAAAACTAATTTCTGTAAATCTTCACTATGCTTTTGGCTCCTGGCAAAACCCCTCACTTTTAATCTTAAGGTAACATTGACAGAAAGGGGCAATGACACCTAAAGCTCTCCAGAGAGTACTAAACATGTTTCTGTTCTGCATCAGAAGCTCTCATTTCACCGTCGCCTTCTCTTGGCAGGAATTTGGAAATAAAGCGGGTCCATTAAATAGCCCCTCTAAATTGGTTCCCTCTGCTACCTAAAGAATAAATGCCTAGTGCTATGGACAAGCAACTCTTGCAGAATAAGCTGCTGTTGATGATATGCTAAATATATGCAAAATAGAACAGGATTTGCTGCTGATTCCTAGAGTGCTGTGACTCTCTAGTCATTATATAAAATACAGGAATTTTTCACCTTTTGTCAAATTCTTCCTCTTATCTTTTGTAACCACTATACAGTGCATTTTCACAGTTCAAAACTCTTTTTCCTCCTTGTACAATTCTATTTATTTTGTTTTGCTGAAAATACACTATTTTTCTCAAATTCAGAATTACTGACACTTCCACGTTTTACTCTTAGACTCTTACCCTGTCAGACCACACTAAACATGCTTCCAGTCTAATGAACATCCCTGTGTTATTTTTGTATTTCTTTTCCCAGTCCCTCAAGCCTGAACTCTTTCCCACATTCCCATAATGTTTTTCTCAAACTCTTCAAGGAAGCCAGGCTTATTCACCACCTCTTAGAAACACATCAGCCAACACATGCATATTTCTGACCACTTTGTATTTCTGTGCCAGCATTCTATATTTGACTCATTTTCTTATTGCTTGTCTTAACTGTAGCTGTAAACTGCTCTGTTCAGGAAGTTTTTTCTTGGTGAATGCCTCTCTCTATTTTACACTAATAAAACTGTTTTATAGTAAGTTAAGAGTTTGCTTATTTTAAGATGCTTGTAACCCTCCTTCAGATCTGAGACAAAGCAAGTCTAGACAGAGATAAACTAAAATTTTGAACAGTCAACTTGACTATACTTGCAGAAAAAAAACCAATCCAAAAAACCCCCCCAAAACACTTTCATACTTTGAGGCCAGAAAAAAACTAAGGCAAAAATTACTTGATTTTCAAAACCTGAGTTTACAGCTTTCTTACTAAAGACACTGTTATCCTGTCACAGAGGTGGCAGAGCGTAAGTTTGGTTGCCATTCAGTACCTCTTCTGCTTTAGGGTTAAACAAAACTGCAGTTAAGAGTGTTACTGAACCTGTTTCTGAAATAGTGGACAAATAGGGCTGTCTGCATTAATTGTGTCTGTACAAAATTATTCAAGTAACTTTTTCTCCATTTATTTAGCATAATGCTGACATGGATAAACATTACTTTTCTACAAGTGTATGTGCGTGTTATAGACTGTATCATGTATGTTAAACAGAGATTTCTTCCATATTGTGGAAGAATAAAGGTTACTGGAGTAGTGTTAGACTTTCCAAATTTGAATGTTTAAAAATGCAAATTCAAGGGTATTACTTCTACATATTTAGTAGTTTGCAAAGAGGAAACACCTTTCACAAATTACTAAGTAGACTTTTCTTTTTGCTTATCAAACAATAGATTTTATTTGTCTATCATAACAGCTTCTACACTAGCTATGGAATTAATTTTCCTCCACTCTGCACAAAGTTTCTGTTCTCGATGAGAGGTTACTTTTTTCCATGTTATCACCCAGAGTTTCCAGTTTGGCTGTGGAGAGATTTTCTTCTGTGCTGTCTGTAATACTTGGCTTATTTGTCACTACCAAATCATGCTGACCAGCCACAGAAGGGCTTTCTTTGAGACTATCAGAATCTGTAATTTGCTCAGATGGCGGTTCATGTGGTTGTTTTGTGTCTACATCCATATCTTGTGTTTTGCTATCAGCTTTCACCTTGGCAGCATTCCTGAAAATAGCTCTCATGACAACTGGGACTGACATGCAGCTGAAGAAGGAAATGACACATTAGTCACTAATGCAGACTGCATCCATTCTTTAAAGTACTTCTGTTTTTTAAACTGTGGCTGACACCAGAATGAAAAACAGCTCTACCTTTTTGCATCTTTTTGCCTCATAAAACCAGGTGTTACACTGTAACCACAATATAAACTACATGTGCTGCACCAGAAACAAATACAGTGCTGGATCTTTGAACTTAGTGGTGCAAATTGAAAGAGTGGGAGGGTTTGGTCAGAAAAAAAGTCATAAGGGTGCTTCTGATGAAAACCTAAACTAATAATGTTGAAATATATTCATTCTTGCTGAGTTTTGTAACTTTCATGTTTTGTATAAGACAGGTAGAAAGCATATCTTTTCTAAAACACTGTCTACACTGAAGGAGCTTTTTTCCCCACTCTTAACATGATTCCAACTAAATACTACCTAGTTTCAACTAAATACTACCTAGTTTAAAGCTGGGTTCAAAATCCAGCCTACATTGATCTTGTTGTTATCAAACAGATAATAGTAGTATGCATACTTATGGCACTTTTTCTGAAAAGAAGCACTGTTTGCTATTAGGTAGATGTGTAAAAAGACCTTTCCATGCTGTTCTAAGTTATACTAGTCATGAGACTGTCATCAGCTAGTGTCTTCAGAAAAGCATATTTATAAAAGAGAAAAGCATAAACGATAAAACTCTTCATTCAAAAGTCTTTCTACTAGAAACACTTCATCGCTATTAATGTTTAAAATTTTTGAAAGAGATACTTAAGACAGTGAAGTAACTTATTCCTACTACTGTATTACAACCTTTTCCTTGAGTGAAGTTTTCCAGTTGCTGAGTGTATGGCATTATGAACACTCATGGTATTTCCATTAAATGGACACCTGATGTTCATTCCAACTGTTACGAAATAAAACTACTTACCTCTTCACAGCTCTTGCTATGAAATCATCACTACAACTTAGAGCTGGATCTTGAGGATTTAACTGAAGGTGACAGTGGACTTCTCTGGAGGTTATAACATCAATCATCACTAAGAAGGAACAGAACAAAAAATGCTTGTTTTGAAATAATTACAAACATTGAAAACCATCCTTTTATTTTGATGCTTGAAGAGACGTAAGACTGAAGTCAGTGGACAGGGATTTACAGCAACACAGTTGCATGACATGCTTTTTCCTAATACATTTAAATCACAAATAGAAGCTACCATTTATTAATTAAATGCAGGCCAAGACAAAACAGGATTTGAATATTTTCATTTGCTTTCTGTTTTATTCTGGGTTCAGAATACCTTTTAGTAAGCACTTTATACACAGGTGCAACTCTGTTTTTCATGGCCTGCACATCATTGAGAGTGGCCCTTAGAATGTACTTGTTACTGAGAAGCATAGTGCAAGAGCCTAGATAGAACCAAGTCCCTTGCCAGCTGAGTAAAGAGGACGGTATCAATTATTCCACACATACCACAGGCTAAATTCTCTTTCACAGGATGAAGGAAAAAGACACAAAAGCTGGTGTTCCTGTGTGGTACCACTTCAAAGTAAAGCAGTTCTGAATCATCTAGAAATAAAATTACTGTTTAGTGATATCCACCCATTGAATCTGGACTCTTTTTGGCTGAAACATATGCCAGAATTTAAAAAATACTGATGCAGTAGAATCTAATTATTCATTACTCTGACAGCTTAGTTTATGCTTATAGATGTGTCAGGCCTAGGAGATAGTAAAAAAACAACAAAAAAAGAAAAAAATGCAACACAGTGTTGAGAATTTTTTTATCATTTACAATACTTCACAAGTAATGACAGTTTTGGCAAGGGAGCAGAAAAATCTGTTAACACCCAGCTTAGAACCTACTTTCTCTCTAATACTCTGCCATCACTTCCAACCACACAATTTACCTTCATTTATATGCTTGTCAGAGACACAGCTGCTAATAAGAGTGTTATATGCCACTTGATGTCGAAGAATCTCTATTACACCAGGCACACACTTTGGATGGCTAAATGGGATTTTACTGACCAAGGCTCCTGCTAAATCTGATTTTTCTGAGCCTTTGTTTATGAAGTAACAGTGCTTTGGGCAATCTGGAAGAGACTAAGCAACAAATATGGTGATATTTCAAGCACTGAATACAGGAAAGTAAAGTTTGATGTTAACAGGCAACTGCAAAATCTGACAACAATAATAATTTTGAAATATACATTTCTTACATGTCCATCATGTCTCTGCATTTCAGTAGAAATATAATGCTTAGATAAGGAAGCTAAATGAGATCCACTGTCCCTCCCAAACACATTCAAATTAGGTGAATATACCTAGAGCCAAGTGGTCAGGAATTCAAGTACCATCAATCCTTCCAACTATTTTTAAGAGCCCTGTAGGCTATAGAAATGTTAGAGAAAATATTCTATAACAGTTGGAATAACAATAATAATAATAATAAACACTAAATAATAATAATAATAAACACTGTTATATTTTACAACAGTAGAAACAGAAATGTGATAGAATATGTTCTATCAACCAAGATTTACTCTCACAATAATACCATAGTAGTGCTGTTTGACAGTTGCACAAAAAGGATAGCAGTTTTGCCTGAAATCTCTTTCAAACATCATACGTTGTTCCTCCCTCCATCACTACTACTTTCTTTGGAGAAGCATGTTTTGCTGGAATATCTCCTCATGATTCATTGGTAGAGGAGGAAGTGATAGTAAGAAAAATTTGTCACCTGTCCACATTGACAGTGATTCTGTGACAAAGTTAGAAGTGCAATATTGTGTTATCCACTTCAAGATGCCAAATGAGACCTATCACCTTAAGAACAGGGCAGGGCTGTTAATTAGCAGGATCTACATTAAGAAAAACTGAAGAGCAGAAAAAAAGAGCTTTTCCTTGTGTGTTCGTGGAGCAAACGGATTTCCCCTGCACTTATTTCAAGGTTAGAGTGCAATTTTGTAATTTATTCTAGAAATAAAATATTTAAACTCAGAAGTAAAACAATCTCCCAGCAAGTACTAATATTTTAGGGAATTTCTGAAAAGTTAAAGGGCCTTTCATGTGTATCTAATAGAAGTGAAAGATTAATTTCATCTTACCAGTTTTACAGATAAGAGCTTTGCCAAACATTACTTTAGCATAGCGTAAACTTACTACTACCTTCTGTACTACCACCTCAAAGTCCAAGAACTAAGAAGGCAATGGGCTCTGCTAACACTGCTAGTGGAACAGAAAAAAAGTACCCTCTTCTTTTGTTGCCATGATCTGCAAAATTAATGTTACCTAGCAAACAAAGAAGTAGATCTTTGAAGATTGTCTTGTAGTTGCCCTGTACGTAAGTCTGGCAAGAAGGCATCTCAGCTACCATTTTCTATTCTAAAATTTTACATCTAATGCAGCCTAATTGACTATTTTTAATAATGGAGTTATTAAAAGGGAAGCCTTCTTCAGTTAAACAACCTTGTCTCTAGACAGCAATTGACATCGCTGGTTTAACACTTTATAGTTTTCTTCCTGCCAATCCCTTTAAAAGAAATCAGTATTCTCAGTGCTATCTAATTAAGAAATCTCATTTGTTAAAACAGTGTGACATACAGCATGAGAAAGACCTTCAAAAATCTAGGTAAGTACCTTCTTGGGACTTGCTTCTCACACCAGCCAATAAGTTTCTTTCTTTTTAAGGCATTAATGATAAAGTTCTGAGCAATTTTTAGAAGAATAAATATTTAGGTTACACACAAATCAGTGTGACTTCAGGAGCCAAGCACACAGTGTTTCATTAACAAGGATGAGAAACTCACTTACTCGAAAGGATCTAATATTGTTTCATAATTACTTGAACAATGTAAGTCTACATTGCTTGTTTATGGGGAAATATAATTCAGTATACATATTTTGCACAACAGCGCAGTGTGTGTCAAATGCCCACTATACTCACCACAAAGAAACAAGATTCATTTGTAGACAACTCTTCACTGCATTTGTCTTTCAGAGCAGACCAAACAATTAGCTCATACAGCGGAGCTAGTTTCAAGCCAGAAATCTGAATTCCTGAAACCAGGTGATTTTTTTATTATCAATTAGGTTATGACTGTAGGTTATGAAAGCTAATATTAAAAACAGAAGCAATGTTTTGAAAAGACAAAACCATTGATCTCTTTTCTTTTTCCCCTTTTTTTGCTATTGGGAATTTGAGGTAGAGTGTTTTAACAGCTTTGTCCGTAATTGTCATGTCTTTCTTAGAACTTTTGCGCTTTGCACTGGTTGCTAAAATGTTACACTTCAGCTGATAAGACAGACTGTGTTCTGCCCCCAAAACAACTTTTTCCTCTTGCAGCATTAACACTGGGAAATAAAAAGCAAATAAGCAACGCACAGAAGTACTTAGTCTTAAAAAACAATTATAACATGCCTGTGAGCCTGTGTATATCTTCAATACTGGATGAGGACATAGGAACAGGCTGATGAAACTTCAGCACAAAAAGAGCTGGCAAATCCATGCTGAGTTCATCAGTCAGTTGCAAAAAAGCAGGGTTGCTGGGAAAAAAAATTGTCATAATGAAAGTTTTTCTACAGAAATTGCCATACCAAGAACTCTTAGTGCAAGGCCACTATCGGGTCCCTAGCAGTTTATTATATTCCAGACTTCTGACTTGAGAAAAGTTTTGCTTTATAAATGCAACTTTAACATATTAAAACATGCTTAATGTGAAAACTGGCAGAAAGAAAAAATGAGACACCTGAAACTGAGTGATGTTTGCTATAAATCATTCCAAAGTGTTTTATTTTGGAAAGTTACTTCAGACATTCCTTCCAGCCAGCACTGAGGTAGAGAGAAATAAGGTATCAATACCCACAGTGGGACAACAAACTATTTTGTATATTTTAGGTGTAGTATCTTTCAATATATGCTTTCTTTGCTCTGAAACTATGAAGGAGTTGATTGTTGAATACTAGGAAGTTAGGTAATATTGTTCCAGTGGCTTGCTCTGCCTTCAAAATCCACAGTTCAATGCAACTGACACAGTTAAATATGAACACAATACCTTTAAAGTCCATTTGGGAAAACTGTAGAAACCACAGATTATAGAAAGTTTAGCTGTGGAACATAATGCAATCAATAAAACAGAGCTGCCTGTTTTAGCAGAGGCTAAATCTAAATTATGCTGAAGTTAGCGCCGGTGACTTGTAAATCCATTTCTGTACTGAGAAAAGTCCAGAGCCTCACCTGTCCTCTCCAGATTGAGGATCTACAATTAGTGGAGAAAGAGGAAGTTTGTGGAGCATATCAGTGCCTTCAATAGTTACAACTGTTTTTGTTCCACAAACCTGGGAACCTGAGGGAGAAAGAGAATTGCATTATTTTCCTCTTTTCAGTGTAGATTAATCCTATGCATGCAAAACATGCAAGGTCCTTGAAGGTCAGGTCCAACTGACAGCCACAGTGATGCAGGCAGAGAGAAGTCCGTGGTCTGCACAGACCACACCCAAAAAGCCAGAGTTGCCCAAAGATGACAGCAGCAATAGCTTCTTTTGAGACACACTATGAAACAGATCAAAAACATCACTGGTTATTTTTCATGCTGAATTAGGCAGTTTTTTGTGTGATATCACTACAATTTGAGTCAATATCCAAGAAATGGAAAGTAGTTTCCTGATGGACACTAAAATTGTGCTAAAATGCATCTCATAAATAGTTCTACTAAATTAGAATTTTATTTCTTAGTTTCATTAATTAACATTAATGAAACAGGTAGCACTGAAAAACTTATCAGTTATTTCTGCTTTTCTAGCTTTACCAGGATTTAGTTCTGCTTCCAAAATTTGATAGGGAGAAATGTAAAATTCAATGTTCATAGGAGTTCCTGAGGAATAAAAAAAGAAAAATAATGTTTACTACAAAGGTCAGAGGAAATACGTTAAATACCTTGAAACAAAGGTGAAAAAAACCAACAGTGTAGATGGGCAGAGGGGATTCCTCATAAGAGTACATCTCTAATTACAATTTATGTTCAAATCACAGGATTTTCTTAGCATATAAGAGCTAAATCTTCTGTGTATAAATCATCAGGTATCTTTGAAATCATCAGATTAAGTTAATTTCTCTTGCACAATAGCCTGTTGTTCAGCCTTAAAAATATTAGCTGAACTTCTAGGTTTCAGTGAGTACTCCAAAATAAAAGGGAAAGTTGCACTACTTGCATAAGGGACATTCACATAAGGGACACAAACTGTACAATAGGATAGTGGCAACATGTATTAGAAGTACTTTTCTGAACACATTAATGGCTAAAGCTCACTTCTGACAGTGCAGATGAGCCAAAAAACTTATCAACTGGCTATATTTGCCTTTTAGGCAACCAGAGCATTCTCTCAGTTACTGCTGCTGTCATCTCATGGTTACTCTAAACTGTGGTTTCCCACCTAACCTCAGAATATTGCTGGCTTTGCTTTTAGGCTGCTGCAAAGTCAATGTTGCAGCAGCTGATAAACCACCTGGCCTCCTTGTATTTTCTCCTTCTGTATGTCTGTACATTATCTGAGAATACAGGCACAATAAGTCCCTACAGCAGGTTTTATTTACAATAGTGGATCTTTCCTGTAAACAAAGATCAACTTGGTAGGGTTTTTTAATTACAATCCTTTGAATTCAGAAAAGGGAAAAGAGGGAGAAAAAGAAAAAAATCACCTCCGTTTCTTGGCACCAGGTGTCCTACTTTTCCATGAAGTATTTCAGTAACTCTGTTTACATCCTGTGTTCTAGTTCAAAACACATCTTGATTAGTGTTTCCTGCGCTACAGAGCTAGCTAGGCTAACGTAAACCATAATTTGTATTCTTAATCAAAGGGAGATGATGCTTTCTTGCAAGTGGATTGTGTCTCCATTTGTTATGACATCTTCCAAACACCATCATTCCAATCATACATTACTTCTAGGACTTGGGCTTCCAGTTTCAACCCTGTATCTGAGCTGTTTCATGTTGTACTTTGATGTACTATTTATCAGAAATGAAGGGGGTCAAAAGTGTTAGTGGTAATTGGTTAAGCAAAGAATGAGGAGATAACTTGGATAAACTAAAACAGAACCAGTCTCTAACCTCAGATGTGTTCATATAGCTGAATACGTACAGCCACACATTTACATAGCTGTGTACTAAAGCTCTGCATTGCAGATGGGACAAACAATCTACTTAACTCATAAATAATACTTACTGAGATCAGTGACCAGCAAGGATACAGTATATTAGTTCACAGTGTTATTATGCTTCATAAGGGAACACTGTGCAAAAATAAACCAAGAGTGTGTTTCAAGAAGGCTATACGTGCCAAGAGTACTTAATAGGCAAAATATCAGAAAAGATACTTCAAAAATCCAGAAGAAAAACATTGCCCTCAATTCTGATTTTCTGAAAAGAATGAAAAACCTTGTACAATTACAAGGCTTTAGAAAAATCTGTTCCCCATCCACTGTAATCCTATTCTTTGAAAGGAGAAATGAGAAAAGGAAGGAGGGCATCCACAACTCCTGATCTAAAACCTGAGCACAAACTGAGATACCCAAACAGCAGGACCCTAAAAGGTATATTTTACTTCTGCCACAGGGCAATCTAAACATGACAGCTGACTTTCAGATTCACTGTTTGCTCCCAGTGGGTGGTCACATGCACACACACACCCAAGCTCTGCAACCAACCAGTTTCCCAGAAAGTCTTAGATAAAGCACAGGAGTTCAGTAGATCTTGTTTGGCATGCCTGGTGTTGACAAACTGCAGAAAGGCTTCAAGCTTTCCAGTGGGAGAAAACTCATTAGCATTCCATATCGTTCTATATAATTAGATCGGTTAACTTGTTCTTTAGTGAAATGAAGGGGTGTAGGTGAAAGGACAAAGACAGACTTTAAGTTACCTGTCCAGAAGAGACATTGAATAAAGGTCTTTTTCAAGGGCCTGCAAAGCAAGATATCCCTTAGCTTTCATTTCACTGGGAGAGAGAGAAGACAATTTATTATTTTTGTAAGTAAACAAATGCAAGGCTATTGATTTTAAAAGTTTTTCAAGTAAAAACTAGCTGCAACCTGTTTCCTGGAATTTGATACATATTTGACAGGTCTTCTAAAATCTTTCCAAAGGCATCATAGTTCTTCATCCTAACAAAAAGAAATAATTGCTATTACACTACTAAATGAGATGGAAAATAACTCTTTTATATGCAACTTGCTAGAAAAAGCATAATTTCAGAGGTGCTTCCTCCTTATCAGATCTGGCAAGTAGCAATATTGCTTTTCAGTTTTCTTAGAAAATACCAGGAAATGTGAATCCTTGTTTTTGTTGCAAGAAGCATTGTGATTGTAGCTGAAACTGCCACTGAAATAGGCACTACTAAAAGCAATAAATGCACATGAGACAAAATTTGACAGCTCATCAGTTGCAAAACACTTTTCTTGATGTTCCAATAAAGCTTGTAATTCCCTTAATGCCTCATGTATACATTGTTCTCTTCATCAAAATACCAAGTACTGTATTAATGCTGCACTTCGCAGCACCTTGTGAGAGATGCCCTCAATATAATTGATAAAAATAATAAAAAAAAAAAGAATGGGGCAAGTGGCTTGGTTTATGAAGGAATGGTTCAGACTGCTCAAAACCCAGAATTCCCACAGATATCACAGACTAGCTGTGATAGCCTGGAGCTCTGCTCAGACTAACCCACCAGGTATTAACTCACCTGCTTCAGTAGATTTTACTGAGTTTTACAGGTCTTAGTAGATTCTCTGGTGCTGCAGTCATGCCAACAGCTGTACTCAAGAAGACCTGTGTAGATGCAGCTACAACGTGGATCACCAGAGACAAAAAAAGCCTGCCTGGACTTTCATATTGGAACAAATCCTTTCAAAACAGGAACCTAAACAAGTCACTCAGCTCTTGCATGACTCTGCATTAGCTGGCTGGTTCATTGTGATTTCATAGTTACTTTGAGACTCACAGGAAACATTACACATAAAACAAGCTGCCTTGCAAACAAATAAAATACTACACCAAAAGGTGTAGAAGGTACACTTGTGCTTTTTGACAAATCCTAACAAAACCAGGAGGGCAGACAAGTAGTACCTACAGTACCATTGGTAATGATATTCGCTCATAGCCAAACTTCCAGCAGTTAACATCACTGGAAGTCAAAAATCTAGGAAAATGCAAGTTAAAGCTTTAAGACATAGCTGTTGATACCCATTAAGCTAATATAACTTAATTTCTGAGGAAAGAGAAGGCTGGGAAAACTGATAATGCATAATAGGTCCACTTAGAAGAGAGATGAAACACTCAAGGTCAATGATATTCTTTCTCTCTCTACCTTCCTTTTCAACTATTCTGCCAAGGTATTTACAGAAGAATCCAATTTCTTAAATATACTTATTATTAGTAAAACCTGGAACCGTGATCATACTGGCTAGAAAATTTCTAAATAGATGTTTAAAGTGGTGGCCTGACCTGGAACAGCAACTATTCAGACAGAACAAAACATGGTAATAATGATAAAAGAATGTATATATAGTGCCCTACTACCACATGAGAAAATTCAAGTAACACGTTCTTCTATGCATTCGCAAACAAACTCAGGCCATGTAATACCAGCTTGCTTTCATTGCTGTGACAGAAATCTGATGGACATGTAATTTAAAACATTTGCATAAGGACAATACAAAGACTATTTAGTATTTGATGGAAGGAGAAAGGGAAAAGTAATATCTAGTTTGGATCTGTCAATCTGCCAGTTCTGAATTGTCATCATCAGTCCATTACCAAAACTATGGGTTCAATTATAAGTTCTGTAATTCTTGCAATCAACACAATGCCAGTATTCAAAGGCTGTGTTCAACTGGCAACTAGAGCCAATGTATTGGGGAGTACTCTTTATCCTTTCTCCATTGAAACAGCTGCATTTTAGCTGTTTTCAGTGGAGTGACTTGAGAAATAAGTAGTGCCTGGAGTATATTTTCAAAATTAATGTTGCTACAGTTTTAGCCTTGAATTTACAAATCGGAAGCAGGTTATAACAGATACAATGACCACCAACTTCCAATATGGAGCACTGGAAGCAACTGCCCACTTAAGTGGAATCCCAAAAGGTGTCAGTTCTGTCATTTTCTGGATTCATATTTTTGGTTCTTGATTCTCTTTTTATTTTTTCTCTTCAGTTTTTACAGTGAAACCATTCAAGGCTCAGGTATTCCTTTCCATTCAAAAGAGATCCTGCACATGATTGTTTACCTTAGAAGCTGCACCAAGTCATCACAAACCTACAGGAATAAGAGAGGAATTTCATCATTCTTGCCATCCTTTGTGAAGCATCTCTTAAAAGCATTTAATTGGTAATGATAAGCTTGTTCCCCATTACTTTTAAGTAGCTCAATGGTTAGCTTAAAAAAACCCCAACACACAAAAACCAGACTAACAGTACAATAGTTAAAACATAATATTACTCTAATAATTGGAAGAACAAAGGCTCTGTGAAAGAAGATAAAATTAATAGAAATAGTTTGTTGGTAAATCTCTTTCTAGAAAAAAAAACCAAATGCATCTTAGCCAGCCCAGTTTTTCTTTTATTGGCTGTTACAGTGCTAGAATTCTCTGGGTATGCATTTCCATCCAGCACTCACTGATCAACAGCCCTGTGCTGGTTAAACAGAACAATCTGAAATGCCTGGGCTGACTGCAACTAAAAATAAAGGACAAAGTTAACTTCAAAGTAATGTAATATTTTGGATACTTACTGATAAAAACCAAACTTTATAATCCCTGTCCCCCCCAACAGCTTGTTATATCTTTGATCTGAAGGATTGTCTATAACACTTAACAACTGAGGAACATGGTGTGTGAACTTCAGGGTGATATTTTGTGAATAATGGAAATTTTTCAAGAAAAACGTCCCCACTAGTAGGAATACACAGACTCTTAAAGAAGGTAAAAACAGAATAGCTCCAAGACATCCATTGAGATTATATATTTCCTTAGTAGGAAAATACTTAAAACACCTGTTATTTACTGTACACTGGTAACACTGAGGAATGAGAATACAAATATTTAGGTGGGATACCACAAAATTTTTGGAAGGTGGGCACATCAGCTGACTTCTACCATAATATTTAGCACTAGAGTATTTAGTATTTGTAACCGAGTTCTAAGTCTAGGCGAGAGATTCAGATGCCTAAAGAAGTACTTAGTGTCATGTACAGGCTTGCAGGTGTGACAAGACCAAAAGGAAGCCAAAGCCTTTCTGACATGGCAGCTGGAGGCTAGGTGAGAGACTACAAGGAGATGAGAGGCAGAAAATGAATTTTACCACAGGAGCTTCTCCAAAGTGAGCCAACTTTACGTCCATCAGATTTCCATCCTTCTCCAGCTGAACTTCTAAATAAAACATCATTGATGTTATGTAGCAGGCAGTCCCACTGGGACTAACATGAACATTAAGTCTGAGGAGAGGAAAAAGAGAAAAAGGAAAAGAAAAAAAAGCTTGTATATCTACAAATTCTGTCACATGAAGAAAGGAAATGGGGATAGTTCACTTGATCGTGGGAAGAGACACCAGGGATGCTTCAAAAATAACTTCCTTAGCTCAGCTTCTGAAAATTACCCAACCAGGCAATATATTTGTGCTCTGCTCTTTGCATTATCCTGTTGATCTGCTGAAAACTATTAAGCTCAGTCTGCAGCTTTGGGACCTAGGCATTCCTGTCCTCTCTTCACTCAACAACCTCCTCCACAAAGGGCTAAACAAAATAGGCAGTTATGCCAGTTCCAAGTAATACACTTCATTAGAACACCAATTCAAAAATAATATTGTTGACAAGCCATCCAGATGGTATTCCTCACTGGACTTGAGGCCATGCTTGCTCATTTGCATTTATTCATAAACAAACTTACCCTTTTTGTCTGGATAAAGATTCCAATGCATTCATCACAGAAAACATGGATTTAGCTGCAAAAAACAGAAATGCAATTTAATCAGACTGCAGTGAGCAAGAAGTAGAACCAGTTTTATCCTGCTTTAAATGGTATGATTTAGGTAATGAGAAAATAGCGTTGCATGAATGACTTGTTATTAATGACAACTATTACTCTAGGATTAATAAGTGCTGTGCTGGGTAGAGATTATTCTCAGTATTTAAGAATAGCTATCACCTGAAAGTTTAGCCCAAAAATGAATTACAAGTCCCTTGTCTCATATCCACCTCTGTGTTTGTACATTTGACCCCTTTGTGCAGAATATCAGCAACAGAAAAGGATGGGGAGATTCCACAGAACGCAAAAATACACTTTGAGTTATCCAACAGCTCATTACCATGTAATGTCCTCTCTATCTTCTCCATGCAAGAAAGCAATGGACTGTCTGGAGCATGGCTGACAGGCCTTCGCAGTGGGTTATCCTAGCACATTTGTGAAAACAAGAGACAGAGAAAGACTAGCTAAGAGACACAGCATGGATTCTCAGTACTACAAAACACTGGTTATTTGTTTTTGTCAAACAGAGGTTTACCTATGATTGTAGTCATCTCTAAAGAGGCAGCACTGAATGGATTTGTGAAAACATTATTGTGTAGTGATTACATACCAGATGCCTCTGGAGCAGGGAGCAGCTTTCCATTCCCTTTTCTTTTGAGCTGATCACAAGACATGTTAGCTAATTTCATTGTGATGCTAGAGATAAACTAAGAAAATACTTGTTTGTGTTTTCATTTTAGAAGGAATATGCCTGAGCGAATAGAAGAGATCATTAAGTGCCACAGGTGTACTTGGTTAGAGTATAGTGAAAGTTTCAGCTGAAGATAGGCACTTAAGTAGCGAGCAAACTCTCCCAGCTTCTCTTCAAGCTCTTGTCTGAAAACTTCTCATACTTCACACTTCAATTCACAGAGAACATTCACTGCTGAAGAATTTTCACTATGTTCAAATTCAGGACACTGTTTTCAGAGCAAGGCTTGAGTTAAGCATTAATAAAAAGAAGCATGGAAACTAATGAGACTTTTTATACTAAGCTCACAGCAGTTGTGCTAATCTGCTTTTTACAAATACGATTCTTAAATTAGCTACTGGAAGGGCAGGAAGCCTGGAGTGACTTAAAGTACGTCACAAGAGGAGAAAGTCTAGATAGCAGGTTTCAGACCAGTTCCTAAAAAACAGTATTTTCTCCCAGTCCTATGGGCAATAAATTGTCTTTACAGACCATGAATATGGTAATGAGAATGAATGGAAAACAACCTAAAGTATTAGACAATCAGCACTAACTCTTGAATAGTTAAAATAATGCAAGAAGCAACCCCCAAAGTGTTAAAATTAGTCAGGAAAATTTTTGTATTCATTGTTGTAAGAAAAATCAGGAGCCAAGCTATACTAGGCACTAGGTTTTTGATGGGGTTTTCTTTCGCTTATTTTTGGGTTGAATTTTTTGTTTGGTTGGCTTTGCTTGTTTATTTTTTAAAGTCAAGCAGTTTTTTAACTACCTTGACAACCTGCTCTTACACCACATATCCTTCTCACCTAACCTGTGATTCTTACCATGCAAAAATAAACAAGTCTCAGCGTTTCAGTCCATGGCCTTTGTTGGTATTTTAAACACAACTGCTCCATTAAAGCATTTGTAGAAATAGCTGTCACAACACCTGAAAAACATGTCAAAATTCTCTAAATATAATGGCATGTATTTATATTGGCATCTAGAAATGTAGGAGGAAGAAAAATATAAAACCTTGCTAAGGTCATAGATGTTATGCTTCAAAGGAGGAGGTAGAAAGAAAATCTTTTGTTGAATTCTGCACACAAATATCTAATTTCTGTAAGACTTTTGACAGAAAATGGGTAGGGGAGATTTTGTATGGGCAAGTATTCTCAATATTAAATACAGATATGCAGCCCTGTCTTCAGCTTGTTAAACAATTAGACTTTCTTTACCTATGCAAAATTTCATATGTGTATGCTTAATAAATACCAAGGCCCTGCCTTGGATTTGAGACATCCAGATTTGTACACCCACCTCGAGCTCATTGTAATTAGAGATAATTTTTTTATGATGAGGGTGTTGAGATATTAGAACAGGTTGCCCAGAGAGGTGGTGGATGCCCCATCTCTGCAAACATTCAAGGCCAGGTTGGACGGGGCTCTGAACAACCTGATGTAGTTGAAGATGTCCTTGCTCACTGCAAGGAGGTTGGAGGAGATGGCCTTTAAAGGTTCCTTCAAACCCAAACTACCCCATGATTTTGCAGAGGATAATCTCAATGCAGAGGTGCAATGTGTTTTTTGGTGTGGGTTTTTTTTCATTGGGACAGAATGAGAATGGGGCCAGGAGAAAGAATGTTTTCAGTCCATCACCTGTCTCCTTATAAATATTCCTTCTGGCCTTACACAGAATCCAGAGGTACAAAGAAAGTTTTTGCTGAGATGTGGTACTTCCATAACCATTAATTCCATCAGGAATAAACCTGGAGTGAATTTCCTAATACACCTGAGACAGGTAGGAAAACTCCAAAATTATTAACAAGAAATTGAGTCCCTGCAGCCTGCCACCCACTCTGCTCTGCCCCACAGAACCAGAAGAAATATTACAAAGGGCTTCTTTGACCTAGCAGGCACAAAAGCTGCAAAGAATTGTCCCTTGGAGCACTGCATGGGGAATGTCTACACCATTTGCATACACAAAGGAGGGATAGTGATCAGGCCACCCCAACCAGCTGGAGAAAGGGGAAGCAACAGACCCCCACTAACTCTTGCAAGCACCTTTACTTAGTAACATGCCCCCACTATGTTCCTACTCACCCATACATTCATGCTGACGGAAAAACTGCAACCCACCCTGTATCTCCATTCACACTAAGAAATCAAGGCTCCTACTTGTAGCACCTGCACTACAGCACTCCAGGCGTGCAGAAGGCTTGCTGTCTCAAAAAAATAGTCCTAAGGTGTTAGTGTTTGAACTTGAGGCTAGATAAGCACAGCAACATCAACTCTGCTACTTTTTAGAAGGCATACCCTGTCAGCCATTCTCTTCCACATCTGTCTGAGGAGATGGCATGTCTGTCCCCATCTTTTCAGAAGGTGTAGTATTCTCAGAAAGAGACTGAGTTTAACTGGCTGAGAAAGGCAGGGGGAGGTATAATAGCAACAGTCATTCAGCAAAATAGGCAAGCACTCCATATGGAAGCCTTTAGTCTAGCTCAGAGGTGGAAGGAGTTTAAAAAAAAAGTAATATAGCTATCTCTAATATTTGTGTTCTATTTCACAGAATCACAGAATATGCTGAGTTGGAAGGATCCCACAAGGATCACTGAGTCCAACTCCCAGCCCTACACAGGACCATCCCCAAAGTCACACCATGTGCCGGAGAGTATTGTGCAAACACTTCTTGAACTCTGTCAGGCTTGATGCTGTGACCACTTCCCTGGGGAGCCTGTTCCAGCACCCAACCACCTTCTAGGCGAAGAACCTTTTTCTAATATCCAACGTAAGCCTCCCCTGAGACAAGTCTGGGCCATTCTCTCATGTTTTGTTACTGATCACCACAGAGAAGAGATCAGTGCCTGCCCCTCCTCTTCCCCTCATGAGGAAGTTGTAGACTGCAATGAGGTCTCCCCTCAGTCTCCTCCAGGTGAGGAGGAGACCAAGTGACCTCAGCCACTCCTCATACGGCTTCCCCTCAAGGCTCTTCACCATCTTTGTTGCCTTCCTTTGGACCCTCTCTAGTAGCTTAATATCTTTCCTATATTGTGGCACCCAAAACTGCACACAATATTAAAGGTGAGGCCACCCCAGCTCAGAGTGGAGCAGGACAATCCTCTCCCTTGACTGGCTGGTGATGCTTTGCCTGATGCCCCCCGGACACGGTTGGCCCTCCTGGCTGCCAGGGCACTGCTGACTCATATTCAACTAGCCATCAACCAGGACTCCCAGGTCCCTTTCTGTGGCACTGCTTCCCCAGTCTGTCTGTACATCCAGGGTTGCCCCATCCCAGGTGGAGAATCCAGCACTTTCCCTTGTTTAACTTCATACGGTTAGTGATTGCCCAGCCCTCTAACGATATTTCTATACTGCTTATTGCCATTAATATACTCGAAAAAACTATTTTTATTGTCTCCCACATTTCTGGCCAGCTTCAACTCCAGCTGAGCTTTGACTGCATGAATCTTCTCCCTACAGCAGCAACATCTCTGAATATATATTTGTGTATCCTTTTGTGGCCACCTCATGTTACTAGTCTGCTTCTACATAGGAATCAGTCCACAATGGCAGTGGGAGGTTCAAGATTTAATCCTGGACCTTTGTATAGGCAGTAGCTTGAAATGTGTTCACTGGGGAATGCCAGGTCTACAGCAAGAAGAGCATGTCTCCTGCATAAACCCTGGGTGGCAGTGTTTCAGGATACCTTTCAGCATACTTTCTGTTATCAGCTGTCACCAGTCATGCGGCACTGCCTGAAATAGTCTCATATCACATAAAAGAGGTGATTTTGGATTTGTATGTAGGAACCTGAGTAGAAACTAAACAGTTCATTAGCCTCACCAAGATTACAGAAAAAAATAAGCATGGGCCTAGGAATTCCAGAAGTATAAGATAGGTGACAAAAGTGGTATTTGTCTCCAGACAAGTGTCGAGCACACTACTTAGGGAAAGTCAGTGCAGATGAAAGAGTTAAATATGTTTGCATTGCAGCTTTACAAATGTGATCAAGTAAATTAATGATGTAATTCCACACTTGTGGTAGATCACACTTCCCTAAAATTATTGGCTTGGTTTATACTATTAAATATTCATTATTTTTAAACCTGACATTAGCAGTGACTATAGGTATAATCATGAGCTTTACCTGTGACTTGGTGCATGCATTTTAAAACATGTTTTCAGCATTTCTAGGGAGGTATTTTAGCTTAGGTTTGCTTGACCAATGTATTGAAATGTTTTCTGCTGAGCAAGAACATGTGCTATCCCTCATGTAAAACAAGTAGGTTACCTCAGTCCAGATCATGTGAATGGGTATGTGCCCATAAGACACACCACAGCTTGGTAGTGCTTAATATTTTTGTGGTATTTTTCATAAATGTTTGCCCAGATCCAGAGCTCCTTGGAGTCTCTGTGATCTTGATACTGACTCCAGTGGTTTGATCACATCCTGAACAAGCAGAAAAGTAAACTATTTGCTGACTCTCTTGAAGAGAACACTTCCAAAATAATGGAAGGAAACATTCCACTGCTTACCTTGTCTGCATAATAGCTGTTCTGCAAATAAACAGAGAACTTGAAGTTTAATTAGTCACAGTCCAGCATGGCTGATAAGCCTAAAATACACTTTTATTTTTAAACACGAAAAAGCCTTTTCCATTGTGCTCAAATGTATGTATTTAGGTAAATAAATTTGCATCATTTTTCCAGGATAGGGACAGTACCAGATTTTCATACAAGACAAATATTCCAAGACAAATAGTAGCCTTCACACTTACATAAAATCGCACATGAGAAACAGCAGCTTAAGGATTGTCAGAAAGTTCCTTGGAATGAGGTGTTGTTCTAGTATTCAGAACCATCATATCAAATTACTGCACTCAAGAGGAAAGTGAAGAATGATGAATAATTAAAAATTGTTCTAATTATAGCTTCTCAGGCATATTAAATACACAGATGTTTAGCTGGGTCAGTTCATAGGAAAAAAAAAAAAGGCAACTGGTCAAGCATTATCATCAGTATGGAAGATAATCAGAATTACCACATGAATCCTGAATGCCCACTGCTCTAGATTACTCTCTCTCTGACTGTTCATCAAAAACTGTTCCTGAAAGAATCTTTCATGTGCACAGTGACTAAATAAGTTGTCCCCAGAGAAAATCTTCTCTTGCTCTCAAATAATTGCCGGTTATCTTACCCCTTTTAAAGGGTAAAACTGGTATGCTTCTTCAGGCACCTTTTGAGAAATTAATTATTACTACTTGGCATATTGTGTCATGGTTTTCTGCATCTTGCTAAATTCCTGACTCGAATATGCTTCAAAGTGCTTGTCCTGCAAACATTGTGATTCATATGCAAATAGCATTTTGTAATTTCATAGTTCTAACACTTCTGATGATTTTTTCATTTCATAGAATGGTAATTTGTTTTTCTTAGAAAGAATCAACATATTTTCCACTCATATTCTTGCATGAATTCAAGTAAACTATTTGTTTCAGTGAAGATACTCTAGATTTATTACAGAACAAGAGAAAGCTTTGCTTACTGTTAATACATCTTAATCATAGCAGTTTGGAAAATACTCCAAGTATTCCATAATCAGTGCAACATCGGTATATTTTTTTGTTTCTGGTTTCTTTTGGTGGTCTGGGAGTTGCTTTTTTCTATTAATCTTATATCTAGCCTTGATTTTTTTTTTTCATCTGAAGAATAAAAATCAAAATAAATCAACAGCAGTATATCTTCACTGGCCTGCTTCCAGGGGTTTCTTGGAATTGCATCTTTCCAGAAGCCCTCAGCTGAACTGCTGACCAGAGAAAAGAGCAGCTACATAACAGCCCACAGTAAGCCTAAATACAGAACTTGGGCCTGGAGCAGTCAGTGAAAAACAGTGGTTCCAGTTAGAACGGCAGGATGTGTCGCTGTGATTATGAGATCAGAGGTAAAATTG